GCCAGTTCTCCTCTCCCCGAATTATTACTACGGAAAGGCCTCGGATTACCTTGGCTTACCGACTTTTCAAGCAACCGTCCTACCCAAAGATTAGTGAGAAGAGGTGAAAAGCCACTTCCCCCTAACCTTCTTAGGCTAACCACCTGGATTACGTTGGCTTACCGTCGTTTGGCGCAACCGAGTGACCCTTGCAAAGGTTCGGGGAGAGGTGGAGCACCCCTTCCCCCGGATTCTCTTAGGCCAACCACCCGGATTACGCTGGCTTACCGTCGTTTGGAGCAATCGATTCCCAGATGCCAGGGGTTGGGGAGAGGTGGAGCACCCCTCCCGCCCAGTATTCTTAGGCCAATGACCTGGATTACGTTGGCTTACCGTCGTTTGGGGCAATCGATTTCCCCGTGGCAAGGGTTGGGGAGAGGTAGAGCACTCCTCCCCTCCGTTGTTCTTAGGCCAGTGACCCGGATTACGTTGGCTTACCGTCGTTTGGGGCAATCTATGCCCACATGCCAAGGGTTGGGGAAAGATAGAGCACCCCTCCCCTCCGGTATTCTTAGGCCAATGACCCGGATTACGTTGGGTTACCGTCATTTGAGGCAACCGTATGACCCATGCCAGGGGTCGGGGAGAGGTAGAGCACCCCTCCCCTGCAGTATTCTTAGGAAAACCACCTCGATTACGTTGGCTTACCGTCGTTTGGGGCAATCGGTTCCACCATGCCAGGGGTTGGGGAGAGGTAAGGAGCCCCTCCCCTCCGGCATTCTTAGGCCAATGACCTGGATTACGTTGGCTTACCGTCGTTTGGGGCAACCGGATGCCCCGAGCCAAGGGTTGGGGAGAGGTGGAGCACCCCTCCCCTCCTGTATTCTTAGGCCAATGACCCCGATTACGTTGGGTTACCATCGTTTGGGGCAATCGGATGGCCCATGCCAAGGGTTGGGGAGAGGTGGAGCACCCCTCCCCCCCCCCGTATTCTTAGGCCAATGACCTGGATTACGTTGGGTTACCGTCGTTTGGGGCAATCGGATGGCCCGTGCCAAGGGTTGGGGAGAGGTGGAGCACCCCTCCCCCCCCCCGTATTCTTAGGCCAATGACCTGGATTACGTTGGGTTACCGTCGTTTGGGGCAATCCGATGGCCCGTGCCAAGGGTTGGGGAGAGGTGGAGCACCCCTCCCCCCCCCGTATTCTTAGGCCAATGACCTGGATTACGTTGGGTTACCGTCGTTTGGGGCAATCGGATGGCCCATGCCAAGGGTTGGGGAGAGGTGGAGCACCCCTCCCCCCCCCCGTATTCTTAGGCCAATGACCTGGATTACGTTGGGTTACCGTCGTTTGGGGCAATCCGATGGCCCGTGCCAAGGGTTGGGGAGAGGTAGAGCACCCCTTCCCCCCCGTATTCTTAGGCCAATGACCTGGATTACGTTGGGTTACCGTCGTTTGGGGCAATCCGATGGCCCGTGCCAAGGGTTGGGGAGAGGTAGAGCACCCCTTCCCTCCTGTATTCCTAGGCCAATGACCTGGATTACGTTGGGTTACCGTCGTTTGGGGCAATCAAGTCCCCGGAACCCAAGTGATGGAATCCATCCGGATCGGACCCCGGATGGGTTTGATCGAACCCATTCGGATGGAACCCATCCGGATCTGGATCGATCGAACCCATTCGGATCCGAGTCGATCGAACCCATCCTTATCGAGCCGATCCGGATCCGGATCGATCGAACCCGTGTGGATCAAACCCATCCGGATCTGGATCAATTGAACCCATCCGGATCCGGATCGATCGAACCCATCCGGATCCGAGTCGATCGAACCCATTCGGATAGAACCCATCCCTATCGAGCCCATCCGGATCCGAGTCGATCGAACCCATTCGGATCGAACCCACCCGGGTCCGGATCGATCGAATCCGTCCGGATCCGGATCAAATGAACCCTTTCGGACCCAAGCCCATCCGGATCCGGATCGATCGAACCCATCCGGATCCGAGCCGATCGAACCCATCCGGATCCGAGTCGATCGAACCCATCCGGATCCGGATCGATCGAACCCATCCGGATCCGGTTCGATCGAACCCATTCGGATGGAATCGATCCGGATCCGAGTCGATCGAACCAATCCGGATCCGAGTCGATCGAACCCATTCGGATCGAACCCATCCGGATCCGAGTCGATCGAACCCATTCGGATCGAACCCATCCTTATCGAACCCATCCGGATCCGGATCGAACCCATCCGGATCCGGTTCGATCGAACCGATTCGGATGGAATCGATCCGGATCCGAGTCGGTCGAACCCATTTGGATCGAACCCACCCGGGTGCGGATCGATCGAACCCATCCGGATCCGGTTCGATCGAACCCATTCGGATGGAATCGATCCGGATCCGAGTCGATCGAACCAATCCGGATCCGAGTCGATCGAACCCATTCGTATCGAACCCATCCGGATCCGAGTCGATCGAACCCATCCTTATCGAACCCATCCGGATCCGGATCGATCGAACCCATCCGGATCCGGTTCGATCGAACCCATCCGGATCCGGTTCGATCGAACCGATTCGGATGGAATCGATCCGGATCCGAGTCGATCGAACCCATTTGGATCGAACCCATCCGGATCCGGATTCACCGGCCCCATTCGTATCGAACCCATTCGGGTCCGGATCGATCGAACCATCAAGGTCAAAGCCTAGGCAGGGTATTCCTATGCCAATGGCCTGCATTGCGTTGGGTTACGATTGTTTGGGGCAATCAAGAACCGAAACCCAAGTGATGGGGAGTGGTAGAATGCCCCATCCCTAGAGTATTCCTAGGCCTATGACCTGGATTACGTTGGGTTACCGTCGTTTGGGGCAATCCGAAAACACATGGCCGAATGATGGGGAGAGGAAAAATACCACTTCCCTAGGGTATTCCTAGGCCTATGACCTGGATTACGTTGGGTTACCGTCGTTTGGGGCAATCCGAAAACACATGGCCGAATGATGGGGAGAGGAAAAATACCACTTCCCTAGGGTATTCCTAGGCCTATGACCTGGATTACGTTGGGTTACCGTCGTTTGGGGCAATCCGAAAAAATATGGCCGAATGATGGGGAGAGGAAAAATGCCACTTCCCTAGGGTATTCCTAGGCCTATGACCTGGATTACGTTGGGTTACCGTCGTTTGGGGCAATCCGAAAACACATGGCCGAATGATGGGGAGAGGAAAAATACCACTTCCCTAGGGTATTCCTAGGCCTATGGCCTGGATTACGTTGGGTTACCGTCGTTTGGGGCAATCCGAAAACATATGGCCAAATGATGGGGAGAGGAAAAATACCACTTCCCTAGGGTATTCCTAGGCCTATGACCTGGATTATGTTGGGTTACCGTCGTTTGGGGCAATCCGAAAACACATGGCCGAATGATGGGGAGAGGAAAAATACCCCTTTGCTGGGGTATTAATAGGCCTATGGCATGGATTACGTTGGGTTGCCATCGTTTGGGGCAACCTGTTTATGCGTTCATGGGATGCCAAGATTGACCCTAGGGACCCCCCAGCCGGGTCATTTGATCCCAAGGGCGGATTTGAACCGGCCCATGGGTTCATCCAATTCAAGAGCCCATCCCCGCTCGGCCATTCTGACCCCCCCAGCCGGTTCATTTGACCCCAAGGGCGGATTTGAACCGGCCCATGGGCTCATCCAACCCTTGGGCCCATCCCCCCTCGGTTTTTTTACCCCCCACCCGGTCCATTGGACACCTAGGGCGGATCTGAACCGGCCCATGGGCTCATCCAACCCAAGATCCCATCCCCCCTCGGTTATTTGACCCCCCAGCCGGTCCATTGGACCCCAGGGGCGGATTTGAACCGGCCCATGGGTTCATCCAACCCAGGAGGATCCCATCCCCCCTCGGTTATTTGACCCCCCACCCGGTTCATTCGACCCCAAGGGCGGATTTGAACCGGCCCATGGGTTCATCCAATTCAAGAGCCCATCCCCCCTCGGTTTCTTTTACCCCCCAGCCGGTTCATTTGACCCCAAGGGCGGATTAGAACCGGCCCATGGGTTCATCCATCCCTTGGGACCACCCCCCCTCGGTTTTTTTTTACCCCCCGCCCGGTCCATTGGACCCCAGGGGCGGGTTTGAACCGGCCCATGGGTTCATCCAACCCAGGATCCCATCCCCCCTCGGTTATTTGACCCCCCCGCCGGTTCATTTGACCCCAAGGGCGGATTTGAACCGGCCCATGGTTTCATCCGACCCAAGAGCCCATTCCCCCTCCGTAATTCGACCCCCCAGCCGGTTCATTCGACCCCAAGGGCGGATTTGAACCGGCCCATGGGTTCATCCAATTCAAGAGCCCATCCCCGCTCGGCCATTCTGACCCCCCCAGCCGGTTCATTTGACCCCAAGGGCGGATTTGAACCGGCCCATGGGCTCATCCAACCCTTGGGCCCATCCCCCCTCGGTTTTTTTACCCCCCACCCGGTCCATTGGACCCCTAGGGCGGATTTGAACCGGCCCATGGGCTCATCCAACCCAAGATCCCATCCCCCCTCGGTTATTTGACCCCCCAGCCGGTCCATTGGACCCCAGGGGCGGATTTGAACCGGCCCATGGGTTCATCCAACCCAGGAGGATCCCATCCCCCCTCGGTTATTTGACCCCCCACCCGGTTCATTCGACCCCAAGGGCGGATTTGAACCGGCCCATGGGTTCATCCAAATCAAGAGCCCATCCCCCCTCGGTTTCTTTTACCCCCCAGCCGGTTCATTTGACCCCAAGGGCGGATTTGAACCGGCCCATGGGTTCATCCAACCCAGGATCCCATCCCCCCTCGGTTATTCGACCCCCCAGCCGGTTCATTCGACCCCAAGGGCGGATTTGAACCGGCCCATGGTTTCATCCGACCCTTGGGCCCATCCCCCCTTGGTTTCTTTGCCCCTAGGGCGGATCGGAACCGGCCCATGGGTTCATCCAACCCTAGTGCCCACAGGCTTCCCGTGTAATCGAATT